ACCTTGCACTGCGGGAGCAGCTCAGCTGGAGCCGGGTAGGAGAAGTGCCTGGCTGGGGGCTCGGGGTCCGGAGGCAGGGGGGGGCTGCCCGAAGCCAGTAGCGCTGGCTCGAGCAGCTTGGCTCTGTAAATCTGAGAGAGGAGGAGTGGAGCAGAGCCGCAGTGGGAGAGGAAGTGCCGGCCATTTTCCCGGACATGTGTGGCTTTTCGGCAATTCCCCCGGACGGGGGTTTGATTGCTGAAAAGACGGACATGTCCGGAAAAAACCGGACGTATGGTAACCCTATGTTCACTGGGTAGTGCTTCGGGAGCAAAGGATTCTGGGGGATGTGACCAGGAGCAATGGGGACCCCATGCTAAGGATGGAACCACCCCCCACATACCTGCTGATGTCCTGCAGCTGCTCCAGCCGCCCCTCCAGCTGTGTTACGCTGGCCTGCAGCTGCTGGTGCTCCTTGGCCGTGCGGGCCGCATAGGCCTTGAGCAGCAGGGAGCGGCGCTGGGCGTCGCGGATCCGCTCCTGGGCCGCCTCCAGGGAGACCTCTGTGGGGTGGGAGGAGAAAGAGCGTCAGGGAAACGACCCCCCAAGCCCCAGACGCTAACCGCTAGGTCTCACTCCCCTCCCAGAGCTGGGGATAGAACCCAGGAGTCCTGGCTCCCAGCCTTTCCCCCTCCCCTGCTCCCAGAGTAGGAGACAGAACCCAGGAATCCTGAGGTGATGGGTGTGAATCCCACAGGCAATTGTCTAGGGAGGGAGCATGGGGGAAAAAAGCAGCAGCCCCATGGCCCACGGGAACCTTGCGGCTGGGGAAGAGACCACGTGGGGAGATGGTGCCCCCAAGGAGGGCAGGGTAGGGGAACAATCCTGCCCCCCAGGAAGAAGTGAGGGGAAATGGATCTGGGCTGCAGGGGGACGGTCCCACTGTGTGCTGGGGGAGAACAGATGGGAGGACTGGGGTGGACTTTGTGCCCCCCCGAGTGATGGGCTGGGGTAGAGCTCTGGGGGCACACACTATGCTGGCCCCACAGATCCTTGGGGCTCCCCCCTTACCGTCAGGCATGACCTCGCGCTGGGCCGTCTCCATCTGCAGGTCCAACTGCTGCAGCTCCCCACGCAGGCGGGCCACGCCCTGGGCCAGCTGCCGGCGCCGCTCCTGCTCCGGTTCCGACCTGCTGGGCTTTCCCTGTGAGGAGTGGGAGACACTGACTGGGGGCGGGGCTTCTCCTGGACAGCCTCGCCCTTGAGTGTGCCCCCCATCCACCCACCGCTATAGACCCAGGCATCCTGCTCACCCCACGGCAGGGCCCCTGGTCCACCCCACAGCACCCCAATCCCCCGCCCCACTGATCCCACCCCCATTTCCAAGACCTACAGCTCAGCAACAAGACACCCTCTGTCCCCTACCCTATCCCACCCCATAGCACCCCTCTGCATCACAATCCCACCCCAACTGACTTCCCACCCACTGCTCCCACCCTATCCCACCCCGCAGCACCACCTGATCCTCACCTTGCCCCACGACTCCATCCCCTACCCTGATCCACTCTATCCCACCCCACAGCACCCTGATCCCCTTCCCCGCCCCTCCAAATCCAGATTACCATCCCCTACCCACCGCCCCCACCCACCACACCGCACAGCATCACCCAGTCCCACCCACAACACTCGTCCCGTCCCATCCCACTGACAGCCCTCACCCACACACCCCTATCCACACCTGCCCTAGACCCCATTCAACCAGCAGTCTCCACCGGCCCCCTCATCTCTGCCTCTTCCAGATGCTGGTACCTGAGGCAAGGCCTGAGTAAAGGAGGCTGAACGTGGAGAGCGACAGAGGCCTGAACGGACAGACGTCAGGGAGAGGTCGGAGCCACCAGGCTGCGGGGGGTCCAAGGCCAGGAGACAGACGCCAGCCAAGGGTCAACAAGGAAATTAAACCCACTCCCCACTACTATAGGGGAACGGGGACACCGGGCTGGATGGGCCCAGGGGTTTGATCTAGGGGGCAGGGACGGGGTGGGACACTGGGCTGGATGGGACTCTTGGTGAGAAAGTTGCCATAGTAACAAGTCCCCAAGGCGGAGCGGGACGAGGAAAGGATACCACAACAAGTTCCCTCGGATCTTCTTCACATTCCTGTGAGGAAAGAGAGAGGGATGAATCTACTGCAGAAACAGCAATGGCTCTGGAAGGGGAGTGGGGTCCAGTGGTTAGAGCAGGGGGGACCGGGAGCCAGGACTCCTGGGTTCTACCCCTGGCTCTAGGAGGAGACCTGAAAATCAGAAGGCCCCATGTACCATTCCCTGCCTCCCTGAGCCAGCCAGTCCCCCGCTGTGGGGCCGGGTGGGAGCCAGTGGCCCTTTGAGGGGAAAGGCCCCACGCCCCATTCCTCTCACCTCTGGTGGTGCACGAGCCGGGTGACGTATCTCCAGATCTCCGCACACTGGCCTGAGCACATCCTGGGGATACAAAGCGACAGCGTCAGCCCAGGGGGACACGACTGGAAACCTCTACAAGGAGCATGGGAGGCCATCGCTTCAGGGCTGTATATCCCCCCCCCACGTCCCTGCCCCTTTTCCTTCCCTCCCCCCACCAGGCCTGGCTCATCCGGGTAACCTCACAGGGCTCAGGGGTAACATCTCCGGGGCTGGCAGGCCCTTTTCTGGGGGAGAGCGAAGGGGGGGGGGTCTGGTCCCACAGCTGAGACATAATGAATGGGGCCAGGTGGGGTGGGGGCCATAGGGCAGGGGGGTTCGCAGAGAGGTCCCGGGGGGGTATGATAGGCGGGGGGGGCTGGGGCAGGAAGGGAGGGAGGTACCAAGGAGAGGGGACAAGGGGGGTCCAAGGAGGAAGGAGCGAGGCCGCCCCCCAAAGCGGGGACCCTGAGGGAGCAGGGGAAAATGTTGTCCCACAAACTTATACAGGATCGTTTCAGGGGTCAAGGCAAAGATGCCACATTTATTAATCTGTAACTATTAACAAATACCTCAATGCTTATACACATACAGTCACACACACACACACACACACACACACACCAAAATGTTCTGCAGCTGCTGGATAGTTACCAGTCCTGAGTGTAGTTTGAGTTCCCAGCCCGCTCCACAAACTGCTGCTGCCAGAGGAGTCAACGCCACAACCGGGCCGCGGCACCAGACCCCCATCATCCGGCGGACCG